CCGGCGGGGGAGCGGCCGGTGCGCGCGTCTGGCCGACGCCTCGCGGGACACTCCCCGCCCCTGAGCGGCCGACGCACGCGAGGGTGCTCTCCGCGGCTCAGCTCTGGGGTGCTCTGCTCTGGGCCTTGGCGGTATCCGGGGTTAGCCGGGCGCTTTTGCCTACGGAGTAGAAAGTAGCTGGGCAAAAACTGAGTTTCAGGCAAGGCGGAGATGCATTTGGGGAGACCGTGGCCTCGACAGAAGTCGCCGGGACTGCGCCTTGGGGGGCGTTAAATGCCTAGAAAATAGTGACGTGCTCAGGAGATGTTTACTGAGTGACCAGCCAGGGAAAGTCAGATCTGAGGGGGGCGAGGGTGGGGGCGGGTCTGAATTTACTTCAGAAGCAGCTGAAACCCCCTGGGAGTGGGAGGGGCGGCGTGGAATATGCGCCTAATTGCGCTTTAGGAAATACTACTGCAGTGAGGGAGAATGAGGAAGGGATACCACGCAGAAGGTGGTGGCGATGTGTAGGCCAAATGGTAAGGGTGGGCAGGAAGGGAGGCTGTATGAGGCGTTCTGGGGGCAGGTGGCCCCTCTCGGATTGTAGACGGGGCTGGTTTCAAGCCCGAGTGCGTGAAGTGATGCCGGCCGAAGTGGACAGCTGCAGAGTGAGGGCAGCTGTGTGGGGCCTCTGGCCTCAGTGTTGGGTGTGTTGAAATTATGGTGCAGGAGAGATCGGAGCTTGAGGCTTCTGTGGGTATTTCAGAATGCGAGTCTGCAATGTGACAGGCAAGAGTGGGCCAGTCAGATTTGGGTGGCCTTGGAATTGCCATAGAGCGGTATCGTGATTAATGAGGTCACAGAAGGAGAGAGAAAACAAACTTGAAGCCTGTCCTGTTCCGGTTATCTCATGTTACATCTGAAAAATGAATTAAAACACCCATGAGTGGCTTAGTCAAGAACCTCAGCTGATTATTTCTTGTGATTCTGTGGGTTGATGATGTGTTAGGATTCTGTGGCACTGCTGCTGCTAGTCTGACCTGGAGCCACTCATCTGGTTGCATTTCTTTGGTGGGTTAACTGGGGATTGGTCGCAACGGGCCTCCCCTGGGGTAGGGGTTCTCATCCACCTGACCGCTCCACGCGGCCAGCTTGGCTACCTCTCAGCACGGCAGCCCCATGCCCCGATGCCAAGGACTACAGAGCATGTGTCACTTGTCATTTCTGTCCTGTTCTGTTGTCAAAGCAAGTGATGGGTCAGCACACATTCAAGGGAAGGGAAGTAGGCTCCGCCTCTTGAGAAAGAAGGATGGCAGATGTCATCACAGAAGGCGTCTGGGGGGGGGGCCTCAGAAACTGTCTGCCCCACCTGCCCTGAAAGGGAGTATTCAGTGCTACAGAGGTAGACAGCCCTTGTGAGTGGATTGTCTGCCCACAGGCCAGCCGTCTGCTCCACCACCGGTAGAGTCCGCTACAGCAGAAGCTGCAGCTTCTTGTCAGCTACAGTGGAAGCTGCTCAAGATTCTCCTGCTGAGTCCTCTGCCCTCATGTTCCTAACCTGACACCCCTCACCCTGGGGTCAGCCCCCTCCAGGGCAGGTATCTGTCTGCTTACTGATGACATAAGCAAGCAAACGGTTTTGAGCCTGACTTAGGATGGGGACAAAATGATAACATGTTGCATTGAGTTTTGTAGCCTTATAATTTTCATGTTGCTTATCAGTTCTTACGCCTCAGGTGTGCATTTTGGAGAACGTTTGCGAAGCCTGGGTCCTAGCCAAGTAAGCCTTGCCCAGCCTTTCAGCTCAACATGGAGGAAGCTTGTCCAGGCACCACTCCTGGAAATGAAGACAGTCTTGTGAAAGTGAAGGAGGAAGACCCCCCATGGGAGCAGGTGCCAGGCTCCCAGGGGAGCAGCGCCCACTCTCGTGAGCTTTGCCGCCTGCGCTTCCGACAGTTCTGCTACCAGGAGGTCGCCGGGCCCCGCGAGGCTTTAGCTCAACTCCGGGAGCTGTGCCGCCTGTGGCTGCGGCCCGAGACGCGCAGCAAGGAGCAGATCCTCGAGCTGCTGGTGCTGGAGCAGTTCCTGACCATCCTGCCCGGGGAGCTGCAGGCCTGGGTGCCGGCTTGCCCTCTGGACAGTGGGGAGCAGGTGGTGACGACACTAGAGACACCGGACAGAGGTGTGGGACACAGAGCACAGCAGGTGGGAAGTGTGTGCGTGTGCGTCTTTGTCGGTTTGTTTTTAACTTTCTGTTTTGAAATAATTCATAGCTTCCAGGGCACTAGGAGAACAAAGAACAGGAGCATCTCTGGAATTGTCTTTCTCTTGGGAAGTTAAGATTCTCATGGTGCCGTGTAATCAGGAGTTCCCATTCAAAACTGGCCGCCTTACCCAGAGTGTAATGGTGGTCCCCGCCCGCCCCGCCTCCAGCCGGGGTGCAGGCCCGCATCGCAGGCACCTGTAGCTGTTGAGCGCTTCTGCCAGCCAGTCCAGCTGTGGGGGAAGCAGCCCCACCCCACAGCAGTGTGGTGCCTGCGGTGGCCTGCGCTGCAGCAGTTCTGACACGCTTGTCCTCACACATCACGCGCTGTCCCACGAGACCCACCCCCCACCCCCCCACTTCAGGCGCCAGTCACGGGTTCAGTTCTCACCTGAGCTTCGGCCCTGCTGGCTACCAACTGGAAGAGCCAATGATCCCTTGAGTTCGATTAGCTTGCTAGAGGGGCTCACACACTCAAGCATTTTATTTACCGATTTAGTGGCTTATTATACAAGATGTGACTGAGGAGACAGGTGGACATCCAGATGGAGATGCGGGGAGCACAGTGTATGTGGAGGGCCCTGGACTTTCATGCCATCTCCGAGAGTGACTCCCCACATCTCTACCTGTTCACCAGCTCAAAAGTTCCCTGAGGCCTGTGCCTTTGGTTTTTCTGGAGGATTCGCTGGGCAGCATGATGATGAGCTCACTGACCTTTGGGAACGGATCTCCTCAGAGATCGGGGGAGGTGACCCAGAGGGGCTGGAAACCCCGGCCTCCAGTCACACGGCCCCCCTCCTGTGCCCGGTCCTGTAAGCCCCTCAGCAGCATGGGCCCCGCAGCGGCCTAGCAGAATCAGTCTCCTCTCTTCGGACGGTCGGGGGGTTTCATGAGCTCTGTGCCAGGAATGATTTGGGACCAAACATCTCTTTCTCTTACCAATCACTTCACAGTTGCTGTGTCTCGGCAGTCTCCTGGAACTGTTGCTCAGTCCGTCTTTGTCCTGACACTCATATTTTGAAAAGTACAGACGAGTAATTTTACAGAAAGCCCCTCAGTTTGGGTCTGTCTTACATTTGCCCATGAAAAATCTACGTTGTGCGTTTCACGTAGGCTGCCAGAGGTGCCCCCGCCGTCAGGAGACAGAGGGTCATGTTCGGGGGTGTCTGTCAGATTTCTTTGCTGTGACGTTACTTCCCCCATGCTCGTAGTTAACAGGCACCCTGTGGGGGACATTTTGAGACTGCATGTGCCCTGTTCCTCTTTAAAATGCCACGCACGAGTTTGAGCCTGGGTTTGCGTTTTTTTTTCCGGGCAGAGCTCCTTTGCCTCTTTGCCCGTCACTTGCCGTCGCTCCCCAGCAGCAGAACAGGGCCCGGTCTAGTTGCTGCTGTGCCCGAACTAGCTGAGTAGGTGTCTGGGTGTCTCGCTGGCGGCTTCCTACAAGGATCTGCTGGGCCTGGCCGAGTGTGTCCCTGGCCGCTGTTCAGTCCAGGTCCC